TTGGCGTGACTTAACGGGAGGCGAGGCTAGACGGCTCTAGGCGAGGCGAGCCGAGGCTACGCTAGGCTACGCTAGGTTAGGTTATGTTAGGTTAGGTTTGCGCAGTAGACTTGTCCGCATCAATCAGTAACTGAAGTGTACCATTCTCTACTGTTAAGCTAGGTGAGGTGCGGTGAGGTGACGTGACATGACGTGACGTGAAGTGACTTGGCGTGAGTTCACCTGATTTGGCGTTAATTGGCGTGACTCGACGTGACTTGGCGTGACTTGACGGAAGGCTAGGCGAGAAGGGTCTAGGCGAGACGAGGCGATGCGAGGCTAGACTAGGTTACGTTACGTTAGGTTAGGTTAGGTAAGGTGAGGTTAGGTTAGGTTAAGTTAGGTTAGGTTAGGTTAGGTTTGCGCAGTAGACTTGTCCGAATCAATCAGTAACTGATCGGTACCATTCCCTGCTGTTAAGTTAGGTGAGGTGAAGTGAGGTGAGTTGTAGTGACGTGACGTGACTTGGCGTGACTTCGCGTGACCGACGTGATCTGACGTGACATCACGTGACTTGGCGTGACTCGATGTGACTTGGCGTGACTTGAAGGGAGGCGAGGCGAGACGGGTCTAGGCGAGACAGGTCTAGGCGAGACGGGTCTAGGCGAGGCGAGGCGATACGAGGCTAGACTAGGCTAGGTTAGGTCAGGTTACGTTAGGTTAGGTTAGGTTAAGTTTGCGCAGTAGACTGAGGGGTACCATTGCCTGCTGTTAAGTTACGTTAGGTGAGGTGAGGTTGGGTAAGGTGACGTGACGTGACGTGACTTGGCGTGATTCGACGTGACTTGACGTGACTTTACGTGACTTGGCGTGACTTCACGGGAGGCGATGCTAGACGGGTCTAGGCGAGGCGAGGCGAGCCGTGGCTAGGCTAGGCTAGGCTAGGCTAGGCTACTCTAAGCTAGGTTAGTATAGTTTAGGTTAGGTTTGCGCAGTAGACTTGTCCGCATCAATCAGTAACTGAGGGGTACCATTCCCTGCTGCTAAGTTAGGTTAGGTGAGTTTGAGGTTGGGTGAGGTGACGTGACGTGGCGTGACTTGGCGTGACTTGACGGGAGGCGAGGCGAGAAGGTTCTAGGCGAGGCGAGGCGATGCGAGGCTAGGCTAGGTTAGGTCAGGTTACGTTAGGTTAGGTTAGGTTAAGTTAGGTTAGGTTAGGTTAGGTTTGCGCAGTACACTTGTCCGCATCAATCAGTAACTGAGGAGTACCATTCCCTGCTGTTAGGTGAGGTGAAGTGAGGTGAGTTGAGTTGAGGTGAGGTGAGGTGATGTGACGTGACTTGACGTGACTCTGCGAGACTTGGCGTGATTTGATGTGTCTTGACGTGACTTGGCGTGACTGACGTGACATCCCGTGACTTGGCGTGACTCGACGTGACTTTGCGTGACTTGACCTTATTTGACGTGACTTGGCGTGACTTGACGGGAAGCGAGGCGAGACGGGTCTAGGCGAGGCTAGGCTAGGCTAGGTTATGTCAGGTTACGTTAGGTTAGGTTAGGTTAGGTTAGGTAAGGTTGGGTTAGGTTAGGTTAGGTTAGGTTAGGTTAGGTTTGCGCAGTAGACTTGTCCGCATCAATCAGTAACTGAGGGGTACCATTCCCTGCTGTTAGGTGAGGTGAAGTGAGGTGAGTTGAGTTGAGGTGAGGTGAGGTGATGTGACGTGACTTGACGTGACTCTGCGAGACTTGGCGTGATTTGATGTGTCTTGACGTGACTTGGCGTGACTGACGTGACATCCCGTGACTTGGCGTGACTCGACGTGACTTTGCGTGACTTGACCTTATTTGACGTGACTTGGCGTGACTTGACGGGAAGCGAGGCGAGACGGGTCTAGGCGAGGCTAGGCTAGGCTAGGTTATGTCAGGTTACGTTAGGTTAGGTTAGGTTAGGTTAGGTAAGGTTGGGTTAGGTTAGGTTAGGTTAGGTTAGGTTAGGTTTGCGCAGTAGACTTGTCCGCATCAATCAGTAACTGAGGGGTACCATTCCCTGCTGCTAAGTTAGGTTAGGTGACGTGACGTGGCGTGACTGACGTGATTTCACGTGACATGACGTGACTTGGCGTGACTGACGTGACTTCGCGTGAGTTGGCGTGACTCGACGTGACTTTGCGTGACTTGACCCTACTTGACGTGACTTGGCGTGACTTGGCGTGACTTGACGGGAGGCGAGGCGAGACGGGTGTAGGCGAGGCGAGACGGGTCTAGGCGAGGCGAGGCGATGCGAGACTAGGCTAGGTTAGGTCAGGTTACGTTAGGTTAGGTTAGGTTAGGTTTGCGCAGTAGACTTGTCCGCATCAATCAGTAACCGAGGGCTACCATTCCCTGCTGCTAAGTTAGGTTAGGTGAAGTGAGTTGAGTTGAGTTGAGTTGACGTGACATGACGTGACTAGGCGTTACTTTGCGTGACTTGGCGTGATTTGATGTGACTTGACCTGACTTGGCGTGACTGACGTGACTTGACGTGACTCGACGTGACTTTGCGTGACTTGACCTTTTTTCACTGACTTGGCGTGACTTGACGGGAGGCGAGGCGAGTCTAGGCGAGGCGAAGCGATACGAGGCCAGGCTAGGTTATGTCACGTTACGTTAGGTTAGGTTAGGTTAGCTTAGGTTAGGTTAGGTTAGGTTAAGTTAGGTTAGGTTAGGTTAGGTTTGCGCAGTAGACTTGTCCGCATCAATCAGTAACTGAGGGGTACCATTCCCTGCTGCTAAGTTAGGTTAGGTGACGTGACGTGACTTGGCGTAACTAGGCGTGATTTTGCGTGACTGACGTGATTTGACGTGACTTGGCGTGACTGACGTGACTTGACGTGACTTCGCGTGACTTTGCGTGACTTGACCCTACTTGACGTGACTTGGCGTGACTTGACGGGAGGCGAGGCGAGACGGGTCTAGGCGAGGCGAGATGGGTCTAGGCGAGGCGAGACGGGTCTAGGCGAGGCGATGCGAGGCTAGGCTAGGTTAGGTCAGGTTAGGTTAAGTTAGGTAGAGTTAGGTTAGGTTAGGTTAGGTTAAGTTAGGTTAGGTTAGGTTAGGTTTGCGCAGTAGTCTTGTCCGAATCAATCAGTAACTGAGGGGTACCATTCCTTGCTGTTAGGTGAGGTGAAGGGAGGTGTTGTGAGGTGACGTGACGTGACGTGTCTTGGCGTGTCATGGTGTGACTTGGCGTGACTTGACGTGACTTGACATGAGTTGGAGTGACTTGATGTGACTTGGCGTGACTTGACGTGAGGCGTGGTGAGACGGGGCGAGGCGAGGCTATGCGATGCGAGGCTAGGCTAAGTTAGGTTAGGTAAGGTTAGGTTATGTTAGGTTAGGTTGGGTTAAGTTAAGTTAATTCAGGTTATGTTAGGCTAGGTCAATTTTCCGCAAAAATTTTCTACTCGTAGCACACCATGAAGTATCCATGACTCAACGCGGCACACCAAAATATTATTCCCGTCAAAAACCCATGATATCAGACAAGTAATATAAATACCTATCGTAATCAACTTATTATTATCATTAAGCAGAAATCTACTCATGAAATTTATTAACTATTAATTTACTTTAATTCACTGTAGAGTGCAGAAAATACACTTCTATTACTCTTAAAGTAAATATAGTAATTCTACTCGTAACTTCAGTGTGATACTTGCGCCTGCGTAGCTGCGCACAGGCGACTGTGCCGCGGCACACAGGTTGCGGAACACTGGTCTAGACAACAACNATTCCCCTCAAAAACGCATGATATCCCACAATTAATACAAATACGTATCGTCATCAACTTACTACTATATTATAATTATATTATTATTATCATTAAATTAACTATTAATTTACTTTAATTCACTGTAGAGTGCAGAAAATACACTTCTATTACTCTTAAAGTAAATATAGTAATTCTACTCGTAACTTCAGTGTGATACTTGCGCCTGCGTAGCTGCGCACAGGCGACTGTGCCGCGGCACACAGGTTGCGGAACACTGGTCTAGACAACAACTCTTCAACTCGTGCAATCATGCCAACCATGATGCTATGGGAAGAAGAAGAAGAAAAAAGAAATATATATATATATATATATTGTTTGTGTGTGTGTGTGTGTAAGATGCTAATGCATTATTTTAAATATTTGAAACCCATGATGACCTTATTTAAAGACGTGTAAGGGAGCATTAGTGACTGCAGTTTGCAGGACCTGTAGAATTGCAACAGTGTTGGCCAGCATACACTTAATGTAAGGTGGAGGTTTCCACATGTATAAAGAGACGTACTGCAGTCTTCTAGGTTGTGACACCGTATATACTGGTAGGCTGAACAATATTTGGGAAGAACATGCTGCCCCAATCTTCAGGATATATCCGCAAGTTGGAGATGATATGTTCATGTGAAAATTTGGTGCCTAGCTACCAAACTAAACGGTGCAGAACCCAGAAGACAAATGTCAACATCATTAATAACTTAGTTTCGTTTTAAGTACTCTCTTCAAAATAGTAAATAATGCATTTGGAGGAACTAAAACAACTCACTTCTTGTTATATGTGTATGTACATACATACATAGATCCTCTATATGAGTGTTATATGTGCGCATACGTGTTCTTAGCTGCGTTCAGAGTTATTGATTGAAGCTTCTTGCCAATTCTGTGACGTTACTATAAACATCAGCCATTATCAGAGGAGAGCAGTATACTTCACCATTATGAAGGATGAAGTTTTTTTTTAAATCATCTCCTTTATTGACAATCAGATACTACAATCTTTCAGTCAATTTGCTGTCTTGTGTACAATTAGTTACGGCGAAGGATGAAGTGAGATTTGAGACATTAAAACGACAGCTGTTTCATCGGCATTGGGATGGGCCTACTCTTCATCTCTTCTGTAACTCTTGCGAATTCGTAGTGGACAAGGCAGTTGGTAACGAATGATTTTGCGAATATCTGCACGGTTTTAACACACATATTCTCGTATTCTTGTATGTAGGAGAACCTGAGGAAACACGTCCTGTCGACATCCAAACATCCAGGGAAGCACCTGTACGAATGTCGCTTCTGCGGACCAGAGGACAGGTTCAAATCCAACCTGGCGCGTGAATTCCGCGCACACCTGGTCACGACGCATCCTAACCACTTCGGGTCAGCCCTGCTGGCTGCGTCCTACGTTGCAGGGCTTTACGACGCCGACGAAGATCCCAAGTTCGTTGAGAAGCCTATCCAACTGCAGCCGCGCTGGAAGAGGTGAGATCACCTTCACAATGTTGCATACTCCGACAAACTTGATATTCAATTGTTGTCGATACAACTCAATTGTTGCAAGTATAATCGCGTTACAGGTATCACTGTTCAGTCAGAAATTATTTATATGTATTTCTTTAATTTTATATAAAGTGCAACGAAAATTATTCTAAATAATCAATGTAGGCATCTACTATTTTCACCTTCATATGTGGCCCCACAACACCACCCGTCCCAAGACCTTCCTTTTTTCGGATTTTGAAATCTGTATGTTCGGTTTGAGGTTATTACGGCGGTGAGTATGAAGGTTGTCATCTTGGGTGGAGTAACTCCTTATCGTCCTGTAGAAGTCCACCGCAAACGTTCGGTAGCACCCCTGGAACGCTGGATCTCTACCTACACGGAACACAAACACAGAAATAACGCAGACATACATCGATTCTTCGAGTGGGATTCGAAACCGCGGTTGTAATATTGAGAGTCAGAAGACAGTACACAACTCAGTCCGCCCGGCCGCTCTTGTCAAACACAGCTTTCTGGACGATGAATAATTTCTAGAAAACCTGAGTTTGTGTTAATATTGTGTTTGGCATTATTTCACATTCGATATAGGCAGCATTTATATGTTTGTGTCCGTTACTGTCAACTGATCTCAAGTTAGCAGATATTTAATTACTTCCTTGTTTGTAACAAAGTGTCGACTGTTGAGATGGAATCCGGAACCTTTTTGAAAATGAGGATAGTGCGCAGGGCCTCGTATACAGTAACATTAGTGTACGTTTTATAAATATGAACCGAAATTAAATTGGCCCAATTAATTTTAGTTCATATCTGCATAGCAAGTTGGATCGAAGTACGGCCGTCGGTTTTGAAGGTGAAATACGTACGCGGGCACTCAGACGGACAAACAGACGAGACCTCCCCAATGACTTATTCATTTTATGCACTCTGTGCAAATACATAATACGTAGAATCACCACTAGTTTATAGCAGTATTCTAGAACTGTGAAGTTTCCAGAATAATATATTTATATATTAAGAGCTCCCTGTATTACAGTTACAAATCCATTTCCTGATTGTCTCAGATGAGCTTCCTCCCTTCGCCACGTCTAGCGTTACAGGGTGTGTTCCTCAACGAATGAATAATTCAGCTGTGGCACACTCGTTAAAACACGAAGGAGAGATTGTTGACAAATATTTCGCATCGTATTAATGTCTCTTGACACAGGCATATGTACGTATGAATGAGGATACACTCAATGAAACGCTGCCTCTAATTATCGGCCGGGCCGGATAATTACATGACTAGCAGGACCGGGCCTCCCCACGTGCATCAAAGCCAAGAACAAGTCGCACTGAAGAAAATGTGAAAACTGTGACCGAAATCCTTGCATCAGACAGATGTGTTTCTGCAAAACTCATCGAGGAGCTTTTGGGAGTACCAAAATGTATTGTGCATCAAATTTTGACCGAAGATTTGGGCAAACGGAAGGTCCGTGCGCGGTTTGTACCGCACGCGCTGTCAGGCGATGAAAAACATGCCAGAGTGGAACACTGCAAAGACATGTTACTGTCGGCCCAAAGTGATACAAAATTTACAAAATCAATTGTTACTGGTGACGAGACATGGTGTTTTCAATATGAGCCTCTCACAAAGCGGCAGAGTGCAGCGTGGTTGAGCCTAAAGAAGCCGAAACCAAAGAAAGTGCGCATGCAAGAGAGTCGAGTAAAGACACTGCTAACCGTTTTCTTCTATTCCAAAGGAATCATTCACAAGGAATTTGTGCCAGAAGTTCAAACAGTAAATTCTGATTATTATCTCGGAGTCCTGAATCGTTTGTGGGCCAGAATTCTTCGAATTCGACCTGAATATCGAGAGCAAGGTTCCTGGTCGCTCCTCCACGACAATGCCCCACCCCACAAATCGAAGATTGTGCCCGATTTTTTGGCCAGAAAATGGATCACAGTCCTTGATCATCCTCTGTATTCGCCAGATTTGGCTCCAGCAGATTTCTGGTTGTTGCAGAAAGTTCAGTTGGCGATGAAAGGAGACCGTAACAACACCAGCCAGGACTTCCAGAGGGAATGTACCGCAGTTTTAAATGCGTTTCCACAAAGGAGTACAGTGACTGTTTTCGAAAACTTTTCAATCTATTCCAGCTATGTATTGATTCAGAATGTGACTATTTTGAATAAAAATAGTGAAATTTTGAAAATAATTCACGTCTTGTATTTTTAATGAACACAGTCCTAACAGAACCTGGACACACTGTGTATGTTTTCTTCGCTCTCTTCAGTAATGATGGGTAATGAACGTTTCCAGCAACTCAGATATATCCACCTATTGTCATAACCTATTTAATTATATATGTCACGGTATAGGACTATATGTTTAAATTGTTTGTGTTGATTTTAGATGGAAGTGTGCGGTACTGAGGGTGACATATATTTGGAGTTCCATATTTTTGCATTGTAGTCTCTCATTAAGACGACTTTTCTGAATATAAAATATTTTCCCTAAACTTTATTGATGTCAAGACAGTCTGCGCCTTACTGCGATTCGCCATCTTTTTGTTAGTGAGATTCAGAAAACATTAAACGTTAAAATTTGCTGAGTTTTTCTTTTTTAATTCGAATTTATAACAATTGCATGCAATAACTGCACTACAACGTCCCTTATTAATGAGTGGAATGCGTAAGCTGAAGTGAAAGCGTTCGTGTAAACACGTGCTTATGGCTACTTTCTTGCTACTTCCAGAACCAAGGCTGCAGCCGCTACAGAAGATGAAAGGTTTCACAAAATCCGTGAGGAAAGCCAGGATAATCGAAACGAGCCACAAGACTTGTCTGTTCAAGAAGAGACTTCTGTGACTGCGGGACTTGAAATTACCAAGGAAACAAAAGCGGGGACCGAGGCTTCTGTGTCCATACCAAATAGCAAAAGCAACCAAGAGCAGTCACAAGAGGATTCAGAAGAATTACTTTCTATGGTTGTTGTCAGCGATCCTTCAGATGACGTCATCTATATCCAGCTTCCTCCTGATTCAGATGGAGGAGCAATGGAACGTTATTGTGAATCTATTCTCTTCCCTACGGAAGGTGATGCTTTCTTGTCCGTGGAGAATTTCAACAAAAGACAGTGTTCAGGTGGCGACACTACTACGAGCAGCAACAATATTGGCTGTGAGACCGCTGTTATGCTTCCTGTCGGTGAAGAAGTGGAGAGAACAGAGAAAGTCACGGATGATGGAAACACGAGTCTTATCAAAGGAATTCCGCCCGAGCAGTGTCCTGAAGGCGAAAGCGAGATGGATGAGATGACTGTGATCACAGTGCCATCTGGTGACGCTGGCGAGTACCTGAGGCTCCCTCAACATGAGACGGATGCAGGTCAGGGGCTTGAAGAGCCCAATGGCTACCAGAAAGTTGTAACGCAGTCCCTCGAAGACGCAGCCCGTAAAGAGATTAACACAGCGCAGCAGCAGCAACAGCGGTACCTCGTCATCTTCAAATAGATCACATATTTTTTGTTTTTGCTACTGTACGAGTACCGTAATGCATGTCTGATTATCTGGTAACAGAACACGAATGTTCGTTGTTTGACACAATCCTAAGGGAAATCCATCGACTTCCCTGAACTTACAATATACGAGGGTAAGTCAATACGTAAGTTATAAATGGATATCGAACTTAAACATAAGGGTACTGATTTGAAAAATGCTTTTATTTCTCAATATAATCTCCCTGTACATTGAGGCACTTGTCCCATCGTTTCACAAGCCCATGAAAACCAGCAGCATGAAATTCTTTGGGCTCCTGTCGGAACCAGGCGCGTTCGCACGGCATGGACTACCTCATAATGAATGACAGGTAAAGTTTTCAGAAAGTCTGCGCACGATGGGTGCCGTGCATGCCGACCCCACAACACAAAATGGGTCTGGCATTACAGTATCTCAATCGCTACCACGATGAAGGACACGATATGCTAGCCCGAATTGTCACAGGTGATGAGTCTTGGGTTCACCATTACCAGCCCTACACAAAGCGTGCGTCATTGCAGTGGAAACATCCTGCGTCGCCTGCCAAAATGTTTAAGGTGACACCATCCTCCAGGAAAGTGATGTTCACAGTCTTCTGGGATCACGAAGGCATACTGCTCACCGCCTGGTTCCGACAGCAACCCAAAGAATTTTATGCTGCTGGTTCTCAGGGGCTTGTGAGACGATGGGACAAGTGCCTCAATGTACAGGGAGATTATGTTGAGAAATAAAAGCACTTTTCAAATCAGTACTCTTATTTGTTTAAGTTCTATATCCATTTTCAACTCACTTATTGACTTACCTACTTGTTTCCCCATGATATATCTCCCTTTGTAACCAGCCTTCTCCTCGATATTGCAAATGGCTGCTTTCTAACAGAGATCTTCACAAAATTCTGTGCAGATTTCTTGACTTCCGAACACGCCCTCCATGTTTACGGACTGTTAACCTCTTTCATATAACTATGTTATCAAGGCCAGGAGGACTTCAGAACCCGCCCTATATTACGAAACATTCTAAACATCCTACATTCAGCAGATATATGATAACAATTATTTTCTGTAAAACGAGGATTTTGACTCCGGCACAGGCATCTATATAGTACTTACATACGTAAGTATGTTTGTGTAAGATGCATTAAACTACGTATGTGTCTATGTAAGTATTTATGTACGTATAAAACTTTATTGTAAAATAAAATGTGTTTTGTCTACACTGCATAGAGTAACTCAGTTCACTATTCAAAACGGCATTTCAGATATAGTGGCCAGTGCTGTCTTTTACATATATCCCATATGTCAGCATCTAGATCAGTGCATGCGTGTTGGATATGTATATACTCGTCCCTGCATGCAGGGATGCACAAGTAATTACAGATTTAAGTAGAGGAAATGCTGAGGCCTTCAGATTCATGCCAATGAAATAAGGGCAAGATTCATGCCTACGTTACAGCAAGTTCAGAAATTTGTTACTAGTACAAGAAAATCCTTATGCACAGAAGATGAAATAGTATTCCCCGATGTTACTGCTGCTCTTGGTAGAAACGGGGTCTAAATTTTAAGATTCAGTATTTATTTATCTTTCAGCAATTAAACGGGACACATCAGCTGTTCGTCTTGTACTCTTCTCTAAGTATAAATAGAATGATGAAGTCAAGGAGGATGAGGCGAGCAGGGCATGTAGCACGAATGGAAGAGAAAAGGAATGCATATAGGATATTGGTGGGAAAGCCAGAAGGAAAGAGACCACTGGGAAGACCAAGGCGTAGGTGGATGGACAATATTAAAATGGATCTTACAGAAACAGGATGGGATGGTATGGATTTAACTGATTTGTCTCAGGATAGGGACCAGTGGAGATCTCTTGTGAACACGGTAATGAACCTTTTGGTTCCATAAAATGCTGGGAAATTCTTGAGTAGCTGCAGATTTGGCGGCTCCTCAAGAAGAGCTCAGCTCCATAAGTAAGCAAGTAAGAAAGTATTTATATTTTCAGTAAAGAAGAGTTCTTACCACATCTTCACTAGTCAGAAATAATTGTTGCTGCTTTCTGTCAATACAAAGACATGCCCCAGACTTGCGGTAGATATTACGAACTCGTAAGGGAGTCAAAATCAGAAACGACTTATTTGGGGTTATCCTGTACGCCTGGTTGTGTGCTTAGCTGTTGAACCGAATTTTTAAAATTCAACATCCCAGACTTTCGTTGAATGTTGACTGTCAACTCTGATTTCCTTCCGTATTGACTCAGTGAAAAGTTTACTTTAAATAAGAACATAAATGGACTCTTTCCTGTATATTGTGACATGTATACCTACTGCTAGGCAACTGCTCTGTAAGCACATTCCCGCAACACGCGCACGCGGCAATAGAACATCCATTGCTAAGTAACGGGCCAGTGAACACGTCTCCTTAACAATACAGGCTGTGTTTTCGGTGGGGTCCTTGCCGAGGGTTTTAAAGGGACAAAGAAGAAAGTCTGAAAACCCAATATCTCTGTGTGTTATACACCATCGTCAGAATCCTGTAGTAACTACCATATGGCATGCTTAACCGGTCCTCTCAACCACCCCAGTCAGGACACTCCTCCCATCTGGATCCCGCCCTCATCAACAATGAGGTTAGGATATTAGTATGATGTGAGAGATCCTTGATGGGTTTCTGCACGATTGCAGTCCCGAATGTATAGTTTTTACTCCATAGATGGAGCTAGCTGTAGGCACAAAATGGTTTCAATAAATTCTCCATTTAATCCCATGAATTAGTTTTGTATACTTGTACTTGGTGTGTTGGCTAGGCTTCTTGTATAAAATTTTTACCTCCCTTTCTATCTTAGTTTCAGACCTGTGCATGCTTCATCACAATTTTTATTATGTATTTTCCTGTTATCTCCCTTCGACAAAGCCTGGTCTCAGGTACTCAAAAAATGCAGTTATATGGGTTGTCGAGTTGTCTGTTGAGAGTTCTGTTCTGCACTGGAGGCAGTTGCAAGAGTGCGTCTGTGAAGAGAAGATTTTATGTGTGATATCTGGAATGTGTAATTCAGTGAGATTGTTATGATTCACGCGTTAAAATCCGTTGCCATTAAACGGCTAATGACGACTGGAATAGACTGAGGACACTCTAGTATGTGTCAGTGATCAGTAAAATGTAGTCACTAGTTGTAAGCATTTAAGTGATCATTAAATCCGTCCACCAATCCGAACCCCGTCTATAGTCACACAGGTAAATCGTGACATTATATTATTCCTCTTTTCACGCGGTGAGTGCCCTAGACGGCAGGATGATTACTCTAAATAGATTTTCTGTGTATTCTTTGTCTAAATAAGTACTTAGTGCATCGTGTTGCTGACCGTGAAACGACAATTTTTATATGTGAGAGAAGAATCGAGAATTCAGTTGCTAGGCAACGTCTTGTTAAAGAAGTTTCCGCGGAAACTAATACGCACGCAAGGATAGAAAATTTGTTGGGTGTCAGTTTTAACAACAGTCTTCTTAAAATATCTTTCCGCGGCAAGGAATACAAACAAAAGAGCAAATGCATTGTTGGGTGAGGGTTTCTTTCCGGCCTGCCTAATCGTAAGTAGGAGCAAATGGAAACCGAGCTGCAGACGTCTAACAGAGATAATGCCGTTACTAAGCAACGATTACGTCAATTCACAGCAGCCTAGAGAGATGTGGAAAGTGGTGTACTTCGGAGTAAGCAGCATCCAGAATATTCCATTGGCAGTCCAAACTTCGTGACCGAAATCAGCACGTGACACGTCAAGTGGTGAGTGAATTAAGCTATAGTTTGCCAAAGGGGGCAGTGAATAATATAAATATATATCTTATAGTTAATGTTTTTAATTTCACGATGACTTTGTCTTGTGGTAGAAAGTCGAACTTCGAAATTAATATTACAAAAGTTTTATATACGTCTACTTTTACCGGTTCTCACGGTCTCTTCGCTTGCGGATTTCTTATATTTTTCCTTCTACACTGAAGATGGAGGCGATACGTTCCTCCGAAACGTTAGTTAACACCACATATACACGGTGCCAAATCCCAGAAGACTGCTTTCTTCAAAACCGCAAATGACCGCAACTGTGTGACAGTAATACAAATTTGGTCGTAACCCCCAGATGAGTGCTTCATTCCAAGACAGACCGGCCGACTGACTGTCGGTTGCAACATAAGACTCAGACTAAGAGTATGAGTTGTCATATGATTGAGTTTACATCTTTCTAAGGGACCGGACAGGGTAGGCATCTTCCCCCTTCTCCTGAGGACGGGTATTTAGAATTGCGGACAATGGACAAAGTCCAAAATCCCAGCAATTCTGAGTACGAATTATATGCTTCTAAATAGTTGAAACAGGGGGCTCGACGAGAAACCCGGTTTGAGAAAGTCTATGAGAAAAATTTAAAGTTGGGAACACTGGTATAAAATATTTCCTCTTTTTATAAAAATGGAACCTTACCTGTCACCGTAAATGGGGAAAATATTCACCCCACTCCATAACATTCAGAGATTCCTCTGTTAGAAGAAAAGCAGGAATAGAAATATGTAACTTCAGTTTCGAATAATTCATACTTTTCCATATACTGTATTTGAGATTTATTGTCATTGATAGTAATTTACGTAAGCTGTAGAAATGTTAATTCGCACCCCACATTCAAATTGCTTTGAATCAGGCAAAAATTTCCCTTGCATTTCGTGGAATATCTGCCACATCGAAAGAGTTTCCGTAATATAGTGAGATATACATATTTCATGTCATGCGTCATTTTTATGCGATAAGCCGTTACAGAGAGCATACTTAAAGTTAGATTTTAATGTCATGATAAGCGATCAATTAAAACTGGACGTCAAATTTTCACATACACCATTACACCAAACTGAAATTCATTTAGTATTTCTGGAGATATCATAAACGACAATGTGACCTTTACACCATGCGTCCATTTCACTGCATCAAAAATGAACCATAATAAAAACATGACCTTGGTATGGGTTAAATGTCTTCAGATATCCTGTGGTCTGTGTAATTGTGTCCAGCCCCTTGCAATTACATATAAGAGTTGGGGAATACACAGCCATAATATTAAGTAGTGAAAGTTCTGGATACCACGTTCATTAAAGCAGACTACAATCTAAACTACAAACAAGCTGGGCTAAAAGTCATCTTTGCCTTTTATAGCAAACATTATGGAAGCCTTGATATAAATTTTACGCTTCAGAGATTCAAG